AATAACTAGCATCCCTCATTTGTTTTTATTATCTCTCCTGAATATAAAGAATCTATCATCATCTTCAACAATGTCAATAAACATTTTTAGGTCAGCTTCTAGTAGCTGTGTGCTAGAAATTAAAGATGCAAAGATGTAAATAATATGCTTTATGGTACAACTGACTAAAGTCAGCATCTAAATACGTGAAAATACAAACAAAACACAGGGCAGCACAAAAGTGGCCAGTGGATGTCCTTAGCAGGACGACGGGACTGTGTGGGAGGAATGGATTCCCTAATCAGACAGCCGGCACAGCCAAAGACTAAAGCTGTGTCTCGCTGCAAAATGAGTAGAATCTAGTTAATGAGGAAAAAGTGAAAACAGAGTTTCAACGTTCTGGGCAAAGCAACATGCTGAGAGAACAATAGAGTCCAAGAAAGGTGCTGTGAAAACAAAAGCAAACAACAGGCAAGAAGGGAAAATGCACGTTTTTACTTCTCAGGAGTTAAGGCTATTTTATCACTTGGTGTAATATTCATATATGGCCTCACTAGCTTCTGAAATGGCCCTGCTCTTAATACTTGACCAATTTATTGCCTAATTATTTCATTCGCCCTTTTCAGGAGTCTCTCTGCAGGACACTTTCCCAGAGTGATAGTACAAAAAGTAGGCCCTTTGAATGCTGTCTCCCTCCCATTGCATTAAAAGCAAAATAACCTTTTATCAAATGCTTTGTGACCAGTTACAATATTGAATTTGTATTTTAATCATAGAGTTCAACAAGAATATAGCCAGTGGGAATGACTTAATTACAAATGATGTCTTTCTCATGGCTAGGCTAGCAATCTCAAGGGATGCTTTAATGAAGTTCTGAGCCCTCAGACAGGAAAGGTCAAATGGCTTTGCTCCCCAGTACCTCAAAGTGCACAGAGCTGCACCTTTATGTTAGCAGATGTTCAACCAGGTACAATATTAGCCTGAGGCAAAAATTCCAGGAAACTCAACTCACATGGAAGAAGTTCTCTGGAATTCGGTGGATAATAGAGCAGCCTTTTTCAGAGTTGGAAGAGGAGATGAATTTAGATAATTTCCATTTGAATGTAAATATATATTTTGTTCATGCAAGGAGGAATACCATTCTGTTGGAGAATGTATTATATGATATAGATTCATGATATTTTAGATCAATAGCCTTTAAATGTTGAAGATGTTCTTGATATGTTTATAGTTTGCACATATCTAAGTTTGTATTAGTTTAAGCCAGATAAAATTGCCTTTTTGGATGGGTCAAAAATGTTTGAATATTTTATTTTATTTGGTTCAATCTGATTACTCAAATTTTCTAAAATTAGCAAAAGAATGCAAAGTTGTATTTTATAACACCATACTGATCTAATTTTTATTTTTTTAATATTTTTCTGTTATGCTAAACAAGATCTTTATAAAATGTGCAGAAATTGCATATATTATCCATTATCTCTAAATTTGTGCCTGTTTTTTTCAGAACTGGCTTTGATTTTCAACTTTGATTTTTAGGCTTTATACCTTCTGCAATAGTCAGGTAATTCAAGGTAAAGCCTGACATAAATTACAAGCACATAAGTCATTTTAAAAATTAATATTGAAGAAAGTATTTATTTCCTTTTGAAACTAAAAAAAGCTGGTCCCCTGCCTTCTCTAAAATAAAAACAAAAACATCTCTGGGGACAACTGTAACTGAGCAACAATTAAAAATTTAAAAAGAAATTGAAAAACAAACAAACAAAAACATCTCAATATGCAACGAAGGACATGAGTTTCCACATGAATTAATATAGTTAATGCTTCGAGGGAATCTTAATATACACAATACTCTTTTGCTGTTTTTCCTTTGAAAAGATATTTGGATCTTTAATTTTTTTTACAACTTACACTTCGTAAAATGGTCATAAAAATAGATTTGTATTTCACTTATTTACTTGACTTTTTTATCAAAGCTTATTATAGTTTTGCCTGGATGCTTAATTATAATGACTGATCAAAGTAATGTATACCTATTAAGGTAACATTAGTTAACAAAATATTTTTTAAAATTTAAAGGACTTAAAGCTAATTCCAATGTAAATTTTAATTTTAATTTTTTACTTTAGAGAGGGGGAAGGGGGAGAGAGGGAGAAAAACATCAGTGTGAAAAACATCTATTGTTTGCCTCTGGGAAACATCCAACTGGGGACCGAACCTGCATCCCAGGCATGTGCCCTGACCCGTAATCAAATAAGTGACCTTTTGGTTTACAGGATGAGACCCAACCAAATGAGCCACACAAGCGGGGATGCAATGTAAATTTTAAATAATTAGTAACCATGAACACACACAAAAAATGAAAACATATATTAATTAAATTAAGCCTGAATAACACTTGAAACACACACTATTGAGAGGTTAAGTACTTGTGATTAAAAATACTGAGTATCTTTTGACAAACACCAGTAACTAGACAACTTGGAAGGGAAGACAGGAAAGAGGGGTGGGGTAGCAATGACAAGGAACAGCAAGGGTAAGTAACTGTCATTATTTCTGGAAGCCTACCTCAAATGGCTTCAATACCTGAAGTTGAAAAGAATATTCTAATTTTTTATATTGTCACTGTTGTCTGAATAAATTGCAAAACAGATGGTTCTGTGTGGCTAACAAACAATTTGTGAAGAGAATGTACTGCATTCTCTTAGTATTCGGATGGCATGAATGTATAGAGCAGACACAAGGCAGGGGGACAAGGGCCATCCTCGGGCCAGCTGACTTCCTCCTAAGGCCATTCCCAGAAATGACGTTCTTAAGCTGAGGGAACCTGATCAGTATTTAAACTGTCTTTATATGATTTCATAGCCACACACCAGCAGCCTCACCACCTTCATGGAGCTTTAATATAAAAATTATAGAATATTTGGTTTTAACTCTAATTCCTTTACGTTCCTTAAAATACATACCATTCTGAACGTTTACAAGAAATTACATAGACACTCTTTCATGGTTAAAAAACAGATGCACTTTATTTGTATTGGCAGTTAATGCATTCCAAAAGCCATGTCAATAGCCACGATATTAACGACATAAAATTCAAAAACCTTCACCGGCCTGTGGGGAGAAACAGAAAAAAGAAAAAAAACGAAAACAACGTCTGGCTCAAGTGTTGGAATTACAGAAAAGGTGATGAATTGTCTGTTAGAAGATTCATTTTTAATTATTTCATTTCGAAAATAACTATCTTTATTTCATGAAGGTTTGTGAGCGTTTGGTTTGTCTTTGGAATAAAATAGGGGCACGTGTTAAATTACCAAAGATGAATAGCAGGCAAGGGCAAGCCCGGGCACAAGAACTGGTGAAATACGTTAAGGAAAAGCGGGAAGACTTTTTTTTTCTTTTTTTTTTTTCTTTTGAGGTCTCTTTCCCGCCTTTCTCCAAAGAGGAAGCAGCCTGGGGTGTAGGGTTTATCTTTAAGACAATAGCGCCGCTCGCTGCCGCCCGCACTGCCCGGACCCAGCGCTCTCTCCCCGCGCCCCTGCCCTACCTGTCCCGAGAGTCACCTGCCGACCCGAGTCCCTGCCTCCCCGGTCCCCGTGCCTCGCCTACTGGCTCGTCTGCCCACGAGAACCCCTGCCCCGTCGACCCGCCGCCCCACCAGTCCTGGGCCCACGGGACGCTGGGCCACAGCGGCGCCCGTGCCCCTGCGGGACCTGCGTCCCAGCAACAGCGGGGACAGGACCTGGCAGTCGGCCCTCTGCCTCCCCAGGGCGGGCGGGCGGGCGCCCGGGGGGCGGCGGCGAGGCCCCCCGGACACGGAGGTGCCCAGCGCCCCACGCCCGAGGTGCCCAGCGCCCCCGCCTCCCCGGCCGGCCGGCCAGTGTCCCGCCTCCTCCCTGGCCTGGGGCCCCTGGGGCTTGTTTGCTTGTCCTCAACCCCAGGCCAGCCCCGCTCCCTCCTCCCGGCCGCTTCAACAGCCGTTTGCTTCCTGCGGTGTGTTGCTTTTTTCCCCTCCAAGGCTCCATCAAAGGTGGCTCTGTTATTGAAATATGAAGCCATTTCCTCTCCAATACCCTTGGTTACTCAAGGCGGGAATCAATGGACCTATATACTCTCTCAGGAGTTATAAATAAATGTCTATTTATTCAGGAGGTGTTTTCCCGCGTGTCCCTGCATCTTCCCCGATGGTTATTTTGGGGGCGAGTGTGTGTGTCCGAGAGTGCCCTGTGCCCATCTGGTTCTAATCCTGGGTATAGATCCATAAGCCAGCCCCACCCATCCCGTCTGCCCTTCGCATTCCTCACGCTATAAATAAATCCAGGTTTTGAGCTGTGTCATCCAGAGGTACAATAGCAGTTGTTTGTTAAAGGAGATTCAAACCCAGTAACAATGCTGAGTCCAGAAAACAAGAAAATATACTTCTGGCCATTGCACTGGAAGGGCATCTTCCGTTTAGGAAGCTATATCTCCTGTGGTCATAATTGCCACTCTACCTAGTTAGCCTGGATCTACTTGCGGGCGGAAAAGGCAGGAAAGCTAGTACCTCTGCTACCCTTGAATTTTCCTTTTAAGCAGAGGCTAAAACAAAGTGAAAATCCACTGTCCCGGTGCGTCTGCCTCACGCCGCTGCCCCACAGCTCATTCCACAGACCCCTTGCCCCATTCCCTCAGGACACACCCAAGAAGTGATGAGGGTGCAGGAGGTGTGGTGTGGGTGGGAGCTTGTGGTTGTAGCTGCTGCTCTGCCTGTATTTGGGGATCTGAGCAGAGGGGAAAGCCATCTAAAAGCTGCTGTTTCACGAGGTCTGGGCACAGAGCTGCCCCTCCCTTCCTCCCTGAAGTTTGCATGAAGTGCATGTTAGGCTGTAATTAGGGGATCTGGGAGGAAAACTTTCCTGGTGACGCTTTGCTTTTCTTCTGCTTTTGGTGAGAAAGTGCCTCCTTCTTCTCAGGACCAGGACCTCTGCCATCCAGCGCCACAAAGAGACATTCTGAGCACACACACACATACACACGCACACGCACACACTTGCCTAGAGACAAACTTAAGGTGAGGGGAAAGAGCTCTAGCTTCACTTGATCTCCAGTCTCCAACTTCAGCAGGACTTGAGAACATTTGAACTTCTGGATTTCAGGACAAGGTAAAATTTCCATCACTTTTTTACTCTTTCTGCCAAACCTTGGTGCCTTTCAGATTTCAGAAAGCAATACATATCACGATATAGGTATACATTAAAACAAATTTTCTTATGATTTTCTTTTGATTTTAACATAACAACTCAACTTTTTTCAGCATCCATGTCAGATAAAATATTGTACAGCAGTAAACAAGCTCAGTCTAGAATTGGGGCAAGAATTAACTAGTATCCTGGCATTTGCGAACGCTCCTATAAACCTGGTAGACGGCTGGTTTCCAAGTGGTGGCTTTTCCATCTGCACTTCATCAGGCATTTTTATAGCACATGAGAGGGGAAAAAGGAATAGTATAGGGTGAAGGAAATGCTGAGGAATGGGACTGTCCATTTCAGACTTGTGAGTTATGTTTTAGGGAATAGGTAGATGTGTGTGAAAATGAAAGTTACTGATATCATAGATAATAGCTGTTAGATTGATCATCTTTACGATGTTACCAATTTTGGTCCAGGCTTCTCCAGTTAACTCTGAAATGAAGATCATAGAATTATGATGCATTTTATACAGAGAATCATGTTGATGAATAATGTTAATATGCAAAAATTTTTGTCGTGGTTGTTAAAATTATTTTTAAAAGTTAATTAAAGGAATTATTTATGTGTTGAGACTGCTCACCACCCTAAGCAAATCTGAACTCTTTGAGGCTTAAATGAAATTGTTTTCTTCCATTGACTATGACTGTTGTGTTGAAAATAAGATGGCTTATTATTTTGAAAATAGGTTATTTTATTTTCATTTCTCACTGGAAAAACACACAAAGTGGCCAGTACATTTGGGGACTTTTAGGTGGAAACTGTTCCAGTCCAGGCTCCAGTGTGACGTCATAAAATCCAATGTGCTGGCTGGCTTCTTGGAAGCTAACGGTTCTTAGGAAATCCTGTGAATTAACTTCTTTCTAAGTAAAATTCAATATTTATTCATTACAAATGTAGTTCCTGGTAACCGTTTTTATTTGATTATTTCAGTATACTAAATTTGCAATAATTGTATGCACACTTCAGTATATAATATTTTCAATATTTTATACTTTGATATTTTAATGGAATCATAAAATAGGAATATTGTCCTACTAAAAATATATCATAATAGTTCTCTTTGGATTACTTTTAATGTGATGTTTCTTAATCTTTTGCATTAGTTTTTAACATCAAGTCTATGTATTTCTACTAACAAAAATGTTTTTCCTTCCATTCAGTAAAATGGAATGTATGCCAAATGTTTATTGAGCATTTAAGTTTTAGTCTTTAGTTATTTGGGGGCTACTTAATAATTTAATTGTTTAAGCTAAGAGAGAATGACTTTACATTTTTGGCAGTCTCTTCCAAAAATTGGAAACAGCTTAAAATGGGAAAACTAGATAAGAAGTATTGTCCTTAAATTTGATTAAATGAGCAAGAGAAAACCAAGTACCTCCAGAGACCCCTGGTGCCCAGGAAAAACGTACCCAGGGTCCAATATTGCCGTCAGGAATATCCAGGGAGCCAGGGCTTTCTACAGGAAAGAAGAAAGGGGGGAACATCATGTTCTTGTAAAGTGAGTCATTTATGTCAGCTGTGCCCTGTCTCTTAAAGGAATGACTGACACTGTAATTTAGAAGTGCAGAAGAGACTTTTACCAGGAAGAATCAATTCATTATTGTCCTAGTGGTTTCACATCCTTTTCATTCCTTTGGGAGCAAGTAACACATCCAGGATAAATACATTCTACATTCAGAGTATGCAGAGTTTGAGTAGATGGTCTGCTACACAGTCTTGCTTTTTAGCATCCTGGGTACAGAATATTGGTGTTTTCTGAGTAGTTGAAAGAGTCTTTGAACCCTTAGGTGGCACTACACTTCATCTTTGTGAAGATGAACAATAGTCGTATTCAGGAAATAACTCCCTTATGCTGAAAGCAAAGCATTAGTTCTTTTTTTATTCCATGCATGTTTTGTTTTCAGATTCTATTTTTAAGGTAATGGTGTTCCACCAATTAAAACTCCAACAAAATGAAAAGCAAATTTAAAAATAACTTTTACATTATAGTCTTCTGTTGCCTGTAGTTAGTTTTCCAGCAGCCTGGATTTACGATTAGCAACCATATTACCTGGTCTATGTTATTTAAATGCAGTCAGTCTGTTATTTAGAAGTAACAAAGTGTTGTTGGGAGGAAATAGGGAGGGATGAAAACTTGAATATACTTAGGATTTTAATCAATAGTGTTTAAGGAGGATTAGAGGAAGCATCTGGTTAAATAAATATTAGGTGTAGAGTGGTCGTGATGGTATAAATTAATAATGCAGCTCTTTCTTTGCACCATGAATGGGAAGGTCTGTGATGGTTCAGTGTGTGAAGTGCGGTGCCTGGGTGCCACCTAGTGGATGAGTCAAAGAAGGCGGTCTCACCAGCCTCCTCAAAAATTCAGAGACTTCCTTCCATTCTGTTAACATTGAATGCAAACTGCAGGCCAGACGTTGGGATAGGTTCTCAGAGTAGAAACTACAGTAAACGACTTTTATATACTTTAAAAATCAAGGCACTACTTAACGGTTGATTAAATTCCCAATGGTTGTATTTAAAACCAGCTAACTCTTTACTAGGGAATTTACCATTAACGTTCTGCCTCCATGAGAAATTGTAACTTGCTTCTAATGTAGAATTTGTTTTTGTGGAGATGTCATGACTTAATTAAAAAAAAAGGGTGGGAGCCCTGGCTGGCATAGCTCAGTGGACTGAGCGCGGGCTGCGAACCAAAGTGTCGCAGGTTCGATTCCCAGTCAGGGCATATGCCTGGGTTGCAGGCCGCGGCCCCCAGCAACCGCACATTGATGTTTCTCTCTCTCTCTCTCTCTCTCTCTCTCTCTCTCTCTCTCTCTCTCTCTCTCTCTCTCTCTCCCTCCCTCCCTTCCCTCTCTAAAAATAAATAAATAAAATCTTAAAAAAAAAGGGTGGGAGAGTTTGAATCTTGAATCACCATTTTTTCTAATGGAAATACATTTTTGTCAGGTTTATTGTTTTCAAGTTTAAAAGGGTAAATAATCACTAGCTTAAAAGGTTAGCACACAGAAAATAGCACATATTACTACATATTATTTAGATTTGTTTCATTATATGTAAAGGATAATAGTAAAAATTGCTTTTGGGTAGTGAGGTTTCTTTTTTCTTGTCTTTTTTTTTTACCAAATATTGTGCTCAAACTGTAATAATTAACATATAGAACAACTTCTTCTATACCTGTTACCCATATGCAGTTTTGAAGCAGGAACATTTCTTCCTTTAAATTGCCATGATGGAAAAAATCCTAGGCAGGAACAATTACAATGGAGGTCAGTGTCTGAAAGAAGCATCAGGATATCATAGAAGATTAATCCATCAGAATATTAAACTGAGAGTTTTGAAAAACTTTTCTGCAGGAGATATATGAATTGTTGCTCCAACTGGCTCCCTGCAAGATATATGACTTAATGGTAACAGTGTTCAGCACATCAGCATTAATCAAGGGCAGTTCTGAAATTCAGATTGGAAGGGAAAAAATGCCTCAGTAGGAAAAAAAATGATTAATTTGTTACTTGCTGAGTCTAGAGGTATAATCTATAAATTGAGGTAGGCCTGCCAGTGTGGAATGGAAGTTTCCTCTGTAAGGAACTTTGGTTTTGTGTATGGCAGTGAGACCTGCCTGGTGCAAGAAGGAAGCTACTCACTAAGTCCTTTTTCATTAATGACACAAAATTATAGCCTCCATTGGTTAGTGGTGATGGCTGGAAACACTAACCACCATGTAAAATAAAGCATAATATTTTAATTTGTATTTCCCAATAAGTCATTATCCCCCTGAAACAGGCCATCCTGTTGACAATGTCAGCTTAACATCTTTGTGATTCAGGATGAATCGAAAACCCATGCCAGTGAGAGTTAGTGAGAGGTTGCCTGAAAGCCAAAGGACATGACTGTAGAAGCTGAGTCATGGGCTGGAAAACTCTTACAGGAAATTTTCATGATTTTTCATGACATAATGATACTATTGTAGAAAAGAACCACCTTTACAAGAGAGAATCAGCCAGCTCTGTGAAAGGGTCTGATGCTCCTGGGTTCTGCGTTACATTACTGTTGCTCCTCATAATGGCTTCTCCAGTGAGGGAGACCTCCAGGGGGCTCGCTGGTATTGCAGAGTTCTTAGCTATATTCAGAGAAATCCAGGATTTATTAAGATATCAAATGGACTATCTTACATTGCCGGACTGATTTTGAGCTTCTATTCACTGTTCTATAGCTTAACAGGGGGCAGGCGAGTGATGTCTGAAATGGGGTGAATGCTAGAAGGCCAGGAGGCTACTTGCAAAACAAAGCAAATAAAAAACAAACAAAATAAGCTAATAGAGTCTAAAATTCATTTGGAAAACTTACTAATGTTCAAGGATTGGTTTACAGTCTTGCAAGAGAAACAGAAATGTCACCTTTTGTCCAGAGAGAATACGATTTAGTTGAATAGTTACTAAAACTCCACTTACTGTATTCCAACTACCTTTACTGTACTACGTAAACTCCAATTAAGTTAAATATATTGAAATTATTTCTGAATTTTTAAAACTTTTTTCAAAGTTTTATAAGTAATATCTTGGCTCAGTCTCCACCTATATACTATGTGATTTTTTGCTGTTGTTTTGAGTTTGGAGATCAGCTCATTTCATCATTCATGCATGCATTTGTTCATTGAGCAAAAATTTTGAATACCTGCTTTTTGCCAATCACTGCACTAGCACTACGTGGCTCTCACTTTATACCTTGAAAATTAATTCTAAAAAAATTAGAAAATCAAAACTGATGATAATGAATCTAAAGTATTGCAAGATCCCGAGGAACAGAAACAACCAAAAAATTCTAGGCTCAGAGCTTTTGTTTTCAAAGAATTTTGAGCACGGATCTTGAAAGTCATTTTTCTATTTGCCATCTCCTAGCTGAGTGGGTAACAG